ATAATTTATGAGTATGAGGTTTTACCTTGGCGTGACTTGCACTAATTACTGTCGGTGACTTTGATACCTTGCAAACACCTAAAAATACCTAATTAAAGCTTTGTAACATCTCAGTTTGTACTCATTGATTTGCGCAACAGTCAACATCGCCATCTTGTTTATATGAGACCCATATATCTCGTGCATGCTTGGCGCGACGACTACCTACCGCCCTGGATTTCATTTATCAGTATGTTAAACATGCTTCTATCATTTCGTTGGTGATTTTATCTATTTCGGGTGATTTTCCATTTTTTAGGTTGCTTATTGCCTTTTGTATTTCTAACTGTGATATTGGTTGGTCAAGATTAGTTGATTTGAGAATATTTGTAAATGTTTCTAAGTCTTTTTTGATATTTGGGTCTATTTCATTCAGATTTTTAAAGTGCTGGAACATTTTTTGCACTTTCAACATTTTCACACTTGTCGTCGGCTTGGTTATTTTTTTAGTTCTTTCATGAGACGTCAATACTCATTTGGGTTCAAGTTCTCAAGTTTACTTAATATATTACTCTTTGATTCTTTTTTCCAGGCTATAGCATCCGAGTCTCAGTAGTTTATTGTATGGCTCTTGGCTTAGGTACTTTGTTTGACATTTTGTTTACATCATTTTTCATGGTGAAACGATCTCGTGTGTACCATTTGGAATTTTTATTTTTTTTGTTTCTGTTTTGTATTTTTCCATTTCTTTTTTAGACTTTTACCGACTGCCTCTAAATATATATTTGACAACATAGCACCCGCAATGTCAATTGACTGCTACGAAAGATTAAATATTTTTTTTTTAAATTTGTTTCTCAGTGATAATGAATCTTTACTTTGTAAAGCATTATAAAAGTTATAGTGTGAGTCCCCATCCCATAAATAAGAAATATTTCATTGCTGACTGTTGTCAGTAAAAATTTTGTCATTAGAATGCGATACTATGTTTAAGCAATAACCCCCGCCGAAGGCGGGTATACCACGAGATATTGCACAATTCACGCCATATATGCACGAGCCGCAGGTGAGTGCATATATGGAGTGAATTGTGCAATATCAAGTGGTATACCCAACTTCGGCGGGGGTTATTGCTATTATATTATACCAGTATATTGACAATTCGATAAAACTAGTAAAAAAAGAGTTTACTTTCATCTACTAAAAGATCATGATTATGGCCCTTGAACATGAATATTTATAAGAATAGTATGTAGTTGTACGCTGAATGCATACAAAAATTACATGCGCAACACAGTTCAAATTGAATACAAACTAATTTTTATTCCACATGAAAAAGAAACATATCCACGTTGAATAGAGCAGCGTAAACACACAAATTAGCATAACAAAGGATGACCTTTCTGACC